TTTGACCTACTTTTCACCATGAACTGAACTTTGCAAATTTTGCTTTCCTTTTATCTCCAAAACTGGCAGAGATAGGTCCATAGTTACTATTGAACTTGATAAGAAAGTCATATACTGGCAATCTAAATGTGACCTTGAAATTGACCTTTGACCTACTTTTCACCATGAACTGAATTTTGCAAATTTTGCTTCCCTTTTATCTCCAAAACTGGCAGAGATAGGTCCATAGTTACTATTGAACTTGAATAGGAAGTCCTATACTGGCAATCTAAGTGTGACCTTGAAATTGACCTTTGACCTACTTTTTATCATGAAGTGAACTCTGCTAATTTCTTTCTCTTTTAACTTCAAACTTGACAGAGATAGGTCAATAGTTACTCTTGAACTTGAATAGGAAGTCATATACTGGCAATTTACTGTGACCTTGAAATTGACCCTTGACCTATCTTACAAAGAACTTAAATTTGATTGTACCATATATATTTTTTGCAATAGTTTAAAAATTCTTGTTGATTGCATTTTTACAGCTTGTCAAGCACAAAACTGGTGGCTGTGTCCCTTATTTTGTGTATGTGGGGGTCTATATGAATGCGCTTGCTGCAGCTGGTGGTACAATATTCGGAGGCGGTATCGCCTCTCTGATCCTCTAGTTTAGCTTTGTCGACGATAAAATCTGGCAGTGTTTCGGAGTACAAAATGGTGTTATTAAATCTGCGCTGATAAGGTGATCGTGGGTGCTAAGGTAAAGGAGAAATTTGAGAAAACGATTTTTCAGTTTTTACCCCCAAATATTGTGATGTCACCCGTAAGATGCTTGAATGATCTGTGTGCGTTAACGATCACTGTGCGTTCTTTGAGCGTCCAACCGCGTCCTGGCCAGTTTCATGGTCGCACAAAGGACGCAGAAAGGACGTCGTCCAGTGTAAAGGGGGTTTAACCTTATGTGTTTGTTAGGTACCAAGGTATATTGTAGAGTGCATTTTAGAAGTTCGATTTCAGAAACAATCAAGTCTTGGCTTCCTTATAACAAAAGTTTCAAATGACATAAAACAAATTTTAAGTGATGTAGCGATTCCTATTAGTCTGCAAAGGATAAGCCTATATTATATCAGGCATAGGCGGGTTCAAATGGAGGTGGGGGCTTTAAGATGGTAAAATATTAAAATCATTCCGCCACCCTATGGAAGAAATTAAGAGGCGCCTACAAAATCAGCAAAATCAGGGTTCACCCTCTTCAAGCAATATGGGAGAGAGGAATGTTAGTGCAGTTAAACCCCTTAAACATTTGCTCTCCTTTTTATATAGTCTGACCCACAATATTGGTAGGCCCTTTAAGTGCAGGTACACTTGAACCAGATGAACGCCATGTCAACAATATTAGGCCTACTGCATCGACATCTGTTGACAAATCGACGGCGCCCATAGTCGTGCCTGTGAGTCGTCTGGGGAAACCATGAGCATTTTTGCATCATTCTTTCGGCTCGATTCCTCTTTTTAATTTCAGTTGATGACTTCATATGCCGTGGTCGTGATATCATCTATGAAAATCCAAGCCTTAATAAGCGAACTTTTAGTCTAAGGACTAATGCACCACGAGGAACTGATACATGTACATTTTCGCGTCATCGTTACAATCTACTAGAAATAAGGTGTCAAAGACACATATACCAGCGTTTTAAACATCTGTTGAAATTTTAGACTAGGTCAGAGGTACGTTAACTTGGTTAGAGTCATATTTTATTATTATTTGTTCTAAAACAAGTACGTTATTCATAGTTATTCTCAGTATTATACCTGTGCACAGTGTAGCTCTGATATTGAACGGTAGAAAACATGCACCCGAAGGTCAGTTAAATCACGCATGCGTGTCACCAAGACCTTGATTGCGTTGTGGTAGACTAGTGAGGTATATTCAGTGGTTTATGTGGTTTTTAGAGACATTGGCTGATCTAGTTGACAGACGAGCGATGGTTCAGTTGTACTAACTAAGCTTGTTACACAGGAGGATCCATTTGTTTGTGTGTCACTGTCATGTAAACTATTTAATGTGTTCTATGCATTTTTAATTTGCACAATACAACTTAATTGCAGCTTCTACATTTTTTTTAACAGGGCAATTAATTTAATTAATTTTAAGGATGGTGTGTGTCATAAAGTCTACATGTATAAATTTACATTGAATATAAGAACATATAAGAAAAATATTGATATGACCTTATTGGTTTTTGTTATGAGGTTAATGTCACATGCTCAACATTTTTATATTTACCAGGTATATTAGCAAAAGATGGAAATAGTAGATTATGTGACTGGTCTAGACGTCAAGACAGTAGCCGTTGCCAGCCTGGCATTTCTTCTAGCTATGGTATATCTAAGACGGAGGAAGGGAAATCTACCACCTGGACCCATGCAAGTGCCTTTTCTTGGAAGCATTTTTGGTAAATTGCTTAACCTTACAGTGTACTTTCTTATATCTGGGGGCGAGGGGGTGGGGGGGGGGGGGCAATTTCAGTAGATTGTGTCAGTGAGCATGTTTACAAGTATGTGGTAGAAAAGGTAAGATGTATGGTACCTTTTGCCACCATAAAATTAGTTTTAATTAAGTTATATCATATTAGCCTATCAATATCCTTTAGTTTTGAAAGTAATTTTTAGGTGTACTTTTAAAACATTATAAAAAAAGTGTCTTGTTTTAATTTTCTTCCAGCTCTCAATAAGGATGTTAGACTGTTCAAGGTGTGTGAAGAACTGGCAAAAACATATGGTGAAATGACAACAATTAGCTTAGGCAAGTTATGTAACATATTTATTTATTTATTTATTTATTTATTTATTTATTTATTAGGTTAAAATATAATATTATTAATGCCTTTTTAAAAATAGCATAAGACTATGCAGTTGACATCATGAAAAATTAGTTCTTTACTTTCTTGACAGTTGTATCGATAATAATTTGGTCTTATCAGCTGTTTAAAGATGCATTTAAAATCCGACCAAATGTTACCATATAGTTTCATTTAGTATAATTTAGAAAAATACCAAAGGGCATCATTTCATATTTCCCAAACACTGATATTTGAATAGATATTTTCTGCTTTCTTTCTGTGCTACACTGTATATATTATATATCCCTCAGCAGGCTCATTTAAATAAGTATGCAATTTTGGGCCCGGCTTTACATTCATATATATCATTATAAAGGAGGTGAGCGAGAGTGATGATTATGCAATGTGCGTGCAGCCATACGCCATTTAGGGGACTTCAACTAACTGGAGAGAATGATAAATAACCTGAGGTCAATTTACGACCAAAAAGCTGTTTTTTTTTTTTTTTTTTTTTTTTTTTTTTTTGGCAAAATGTGGGATTATTTGGATGAATGACTTGACATGTCAACTTTATTTTAGTCATATAAGAAAATAGTGGAAGTAGTTAATATGCCTTATTGGGCATTCACACTTGCTTTATATGTATTATAACTTTAAAAATGTTATCCTTTCTTTTCAGGGTTGGTACTGGATAAGCTTGTCATTTTGAACTCTGCAGATGTGGTTCATGAAGCCTTGGTAGAGAAGAAAGAAATAATGGCAGGAAGAGACACAACTATTTGGTCATGTAAGACCTTGAGAAATGCAATATTTGACATAATTTTACCTTGTTGAAGGTTATCCTTTTCTTACAGTCGAGTAAGTGCACTGAATGGTTCAGAAATATAGCATTTGGTGAATTTGGCCCAAGCTTATTTATTGAAAATTTATAATCCTTTTCTTACAGTTGGCTACATCTCTGAAGGGTTTAAAGATATAGCAGTTGGTGACTTTGGTCCAACATGGAAGCTTCAAAGAAAATTGGCACTTAAAGCTATCAGGTACATGTACTTCTGTATAGCTTATTGCTCAGAAGACCAAGAATAAAGCTATTTGATGAAATGGGGTTTTCATTGCCTCTTGTGTCATAAATCAGTTCCTAAGAGATAAACATGTTTATCCATTAAGTTAATATAAAGTTCTTGAGAAATTTAAGTATGATTGTTAAGGTTAAAAACTTCTCATTTTCTTTTCAAAGTATATATGAGGAAATGTAACATTTGTTACCAATTCGTTTTTTTCCACTGTTTTTTATGTAAGTACCATTTGGTCCACATACTACTGTAAAATTTTGATGAATGAGTATATAAAAATTTGTATATCGTTATACATGTATTTTAATGGTTTTGCAGGACATACACCATGGGGACTAAGTTGGAGCAACTATTGAAGTCCTCCTACAGTGATGTGGCAGCTTTATTGGAGAAAGAGAAAGAACCTTTTTACTTGGGGGAGTACATCCATTTAATGTTGTACAACATTATCTGCAGAATGGCATTTGGGAAAAGGTAAGAACTTATCTTTTTTATATTTATAACCAAGACTTATGGAATAAAATTATTTGCTAAGTTTTATAATTATGTGTGTGGACGTGGGCGAAAACGGGAGTCACCCTATTGAACGTAGGTTGGGAACTGATGAATGAAATTAAGTAAAATTAGTTAGAATGACGTAACACATAATTATAAAAGGTGGGGCTTTTCTGTATTTACCAGTACCAGCAGGTTAAAAAATACTATTAATAAAAACAATCCTGCTCAGTAAATATCCTAAAAATATGTTTTCATTCAATAGGCACATCTGTCACAGTATAATACCAATTTTATTTACAGCATTGTTGTTATTTTTTAGCTACAAAATTGATGACCCCGAGTTTCTTCAGTGGAGAAAATTACTAACT